ACACTATTATTTTTTATTAGACTTACAAACTTAGTTTCAGTGATGTCATATTGTTCTTTAATTTAGCCGGAATAGCAAGCTGCTTTCGATCTGTACACGTAAGCCATTTAATTTGTGTATTACACAAATCTTTCCACGAAACAGACAGTTTTAAGTGCAAAAGGTGCGAAAGTGCAGAATCACTCCGGCATCCCCTTAACGGGATATATCTCGCGCGAGCGCTGAATACGGAGCCGCCGAGGCGCCCCCCTTCATCCCCCGATACCCGTTGCCCCCTTTTTTTTCTTTCTCCACCCGGAACGGCCTCCTGGAACTTCGCTGCATCGACTGTGGGCCGGAGGGCGGATGCAATGACGTATCGACCGGCCCGAGGTCAACCGGGGTCACCAAAGTTCATAGCGCGTTTGGCGCAAAAGTAACCGGTGTCAGTCCGTACCGCAGGACGCCGAATAAGCGCTTTGCTCTCGTAGCGTCGATTTTTTGGTCTGTTTGTTTGTTTGTTTGTTTGTTTGTCTTCGGGGAGAGGAGGACTGTCGAAACTTTCGCCGTCGGCGCGCAAGAAGTAACCCGACGCTGCCAAATAGCGAGACTCGGAGATATTTTGGTGGCTCGCGTGAAACGGTTCTTGCCTTATAATTTTATTCGTATCACTTGCACTTATCGAGTTTGCCGCGCGCGCGGTTCTACCTCGCGCGAAACGAGCCACGAAGTGCGCAAAATGTCTCCTCTCAGCCACCGCGTATTCCGTTCGCGGGAGAAAGCATTCGTAAATAATAAACGTACGGGATAGATATAAACGTATCGGCGTGTGCTTTTCAATTTTAGCAATAACGAAAAACCGATATTAGATTCGACTCGAACGATTAAAGCGCCGCTTCGTTAATAGACACCCAAGTTTCTGACAGGTAATTCCGGTAAGTCGTGTTTACGGAACTCGGTAATGTGATTGCCGCGATATTTTCTCTGCGAGGTGCGCTGTCACACGAGAGCGTCGGCTTTTTTGTTTGATCAGTGTTACTTTAGCGATATGGGAGTGTAATTCACGAGCGTCGACTCTCGTTTGCGTTGTCGGTGTTTCGCGCCCTTTTGTTTGCGTTGTTTGCGCCGGCTCTTCCGATGATCCGTACGGAGATTCCGGCTCGCTCGAGAGACCGGTGATAGGGATATGCATCAGGGCTCGGGGCTTACACGTACCGCGCGTACGTGCCTCTCATCGAGCGAGCAGGGACTTCCGTTAGGTATCTACATACAAGGTGAGTTTTTTTAACTCGAGACTGCAAAATATCTGCAAACATAAGCATTGTACGAAAAAAATGTTGCAAATAAACCCACGATATTCTCGAGGGGGCAATTCCATCCCGCAAACGTTAGCCGTCCCCCTTGGAGGTGGGGCGGGGGGTAACTTTGAAATCTTAAATGGGAACCCCTATTGTTTATCATACTATCTTATCCTACTAATTAATATGAACAACTTTTGTCTGAAATATTGTTTTATTTGCCTAATACTTTTTGAGATATTCAAGAGGAAATTGATAACTTTTTCAATGTTTAACTTCTGATATCTCGATAACTGTTCGTCGAAGGAAAACGTGGTGTACACTTTTTTACTTGATTTGGTCTCAGGAATATGCTGTTGCAATAGTGCTCCAATTATTGAAAGTTTTTTTAAGGAGAACAAAAAGTCAGGATGATGTCAATTTGACATCGATTTGGTCAATATGACATCAAATTGACATCATCCTGACTTTTTGTTCTCCTTGAATTTGAGTATTGTAACCATAGACATAGTAAATATAGACTGAGCGTCTCATTGAATAACCTGAAGCTTGTGGAGAGAGAGAGAGACAGAGAAGATTTAAGAAGACTTTCTTTCTCTGTCTCACCATCGTGACAAGGGAGAATCACGCCTGTGTAGTACTGTGCAGGCACGATTCTTTCCTTTTACGATGGTGTAAGACAAAAAGAAAGTCTCCTCAAATCTTCTCTCTCTTCACAAACATCAGCTTATTCAATGGGACGCTCAGTCTATATTTACTATGTCTGTGATTGTAGTATACACAAAAATTTTCAATAATTGGAGCAAAAATAGCAACAGCATATTCTTGAGACCAAATCAAGTAAAAAACTCCTGTACCAATTTTTCCTTCGGCGAACAGTTATCGAGATATCAGAAGTTAAACATCGAAAAAGTTATCAATTTTCTCTTGAATATCTCAAAAAGTATTAGGCAAATAAAACAATATTTCAGACAAACGTTGTTCATATTAATTAGTGGAATAAGATAGTGCGATAAACAATAGGGGTTCCCATTTAAGATTTCAAAGTTACCCCCCGTCCCACCTCCAAGGGGGGCGGCTAACTTTTGCGGGATGGAATTGCCCCCTCGAAAATATTGAGGGTTTAGTTGGAACATGTTTTCGTAAAATGCTTATTTTTCCAGATATTTTTCAGTCTCAGGTTAATAAACTCACCCTGTATATCATGCACGAGCAGTCGAGAACAAGCATTTCTAGAAGCGAGCTAATTAAAATATTGTAAAAATGTAGAGGTTGTTTTGAAAAATAGTGACGAACCTCAATCTAATGTGGACGTGGGACGCACGAAGAAATTAAGTATTATATAACATTGATAGAAACAAAGACGCCACAAAATGCTTTGAAATTAACTTTAAATCAAAATTTAATATCCGAATGCAACCGCGGCTCTACGAATATTATTAACAATACTTGTGTCTGTAGCTAGTACGGAAAGAAGCTTTTTCAAATTGAAATGAATAAAAAAAACCATTTGAGAACAACCAGAAAAAGAAGAGATTAGTGAAATTATCAATGTTATCACTTGAAAAAGAGTTGGCCTAAAATGTAGATTTGGAAAAAATTGGTTCCAACTTTGCTCTCTAAAAAAAAAAATAGAAAAACAAATGTACACCTGGTAGGAATTGCAATATAAAAACTAAAATTCTTGTTGTGACAAATAAAAAATATTTATTTATATATAGTTATTCGTTCTCTACTGTTATATATTTTTAATGGACGGCTTAATAATATTTGCCTAGGGGTAGCACGTACTCTAGCGACGGCGGCGCTAGTAGTGATCAGGATGATCGGTGCTATGCCAGCGGTGGCCGTCCGCCATGAGCGCCGGAGGCAAGAAAAGAGGCTAAAGCGGCCGAGTCAGCTCTATTTGGGAGGGCAGTGGCTGCCACCTCTTGCGGGCTCGCCACCCACCCCTAGTCCGCACGGGCACAACAATCTGGATCCCTTGCCCGAGCTCTACTTATGCGGCAAGGTAATAACAGTTAGCCGTAACAACATGCCGATCGACGTCAAGTCAACGTTGAAGGAGCTGCGCTTGACATTTAACAATTAGAGTTTCCCAAGTACAAGCGCAGAAATAGCGAATGGAGGAGCTCGCGCACCCACAGAAAAAATATGTCCGGATCCAATGCTATTGCACTTGAATGTATCATAAAATATGATCGATATAGCGCCAATAATATTTATTGTAGAGAAAGGAGTATTTTTATCTTGAATGAAAAAATCTAAAATCTAGAATAAAACCATAGTACGTATCGTCTTTTGTCGAATATCGTGGTTGCCAACTTGGTGCGTTGTACGATGGAGGGAAAATTTATTCTAAACGCAAGAATATACCCATACAGCACTCATGTCTAAAAGGCATCTTTAAAACATCTTTAAGTCGTCTTTTAGACATACATATCTAAAAGACGACGTAAAGATGTCTTAAAGATGTCTTTTAGACATGCGTGCTATATGGGTATAAACTTACATTTATACAAGTTGCTCTTGTCTCAATAGAGTAAGTCAATGTTTTTTTAATTCGACAGAGGAGAATAAGAATTATTGATTTTATTTGGATATTGTCTTATTTTTATACTAAATGAGGTCGCGAGAAATATAAATGCGCCAAGATTATTTTTTGTCTCGGCAACAGAAATTCTTTCCGAGGGTGCGGAATCAATATCATGGATTTCTCCCGTTTCGTTTTGCAATAACAATAAGATTCTACCGTTGCGCCACGAATGATCAATACCTCAGTCGTCGTACTGTTTTTCGTAACACGAGTGTGGGGTCTTGAGAGGCCTCAATATAAAAAGTCAGTTCATATCTTCTACGCGGAGAAAGTCAAGTGTCTCCTCTGTTTATTATTTATTTAATTATGTTCGGGCTCGTGTGGGTTAGGAGGGAAAATCCTTAATTCGAAAATATATGAATAATTCATGTATTTCCCGCGCAACGGCTGGAGGGTTGCGGTAATCGAAGGTCGATTTATACTTGTATATAAAACGATATTACGGCCCGTGACATATGCTGCACGGGGGTCGAGATGCGCGGGGTGGAAATTTTTCCGCTAACGCGTTCGGTTTTCACGGAGAGAGAAATGTGGCTGCTAAAAACATTGCACGTGGCAACTAAATTTCAGCTGTGAAATGTGGACAGCTAATATTCAGTCGTGATAGCTAAATATTTTGCTACCGTGCCCACTGCGTTAGGTGCGACAGCAAACCGTTTGTTGTGATTCAGAGACTTGTAGTATAGGGCGACAAAATATGTTTAGCAAGCCATGATTAGCTACGGTAGCGAAAAGTTTTCTTTTCAGTGTCGATATTAGTTTCCCGAGCCTGACCGCACACATACATTAATATAAAATATAAGCGAAAGTAAGCGTGTTCGTCGCCTGACGAAGATCGTTGCCCGCAGATATCCGGGCTGCACGCCGTGGTGGTGTGCCTGTTGTTGGGCGCGGTGGTGCTCGTGGTCGGTCTCGTCCAACTCGTCCCGGGTGCAACGACCACCAACCACAGGTTGGCGTTACTCGTGGCAGGCGCTGCCCTACTTATACTGGGTGAGCCTTCTTATATGTGGAAAAGCCTTTCTTTGCCGTGACGTCGTGCGCCTTGTAAGACTCGTTCGCGGCAGAACGGGTGAAAAAGTGAAAAAGTTTAATGTTATAAACGCGTGTTTCGTGTCGCGTATCGGCGAGGGAATTAAATACCGCGTTCACACGCAAACGATTTTGTCGAGCAGTGGAAACATTCCCGGCTTGTTTCGTGCACTCCAACTCGCTAATAATGGTCCGACTGTTTATTTATTTATACGCGCGTATAGCGCTGCAACAATAAATCTAGATTAAATTTTATCGAGCCATTTTCAATTGAGCAGAATATGTTTGTTTGTAGAGACAACAGAAAATATGTATTTACATAGAAGTAAATAGATAGATTTTTTTTTCCTAAAAATAGGCGGATTTTTCAGCCGATCCCGAGTCGAGCTGGAAAACTATCGGGACGCTCGTTAATAACCGATTGCAACGTCGAATAGAGGATTGTAAGCGCCGCTCGATCGATCGGCGCATCGGTGACGCGCGCGTGCCCGCCGCCACTCGATTCGTTTGCGCTCGACGGGACCCCGACGGGGCGACGGTGCGTCTCTAATTAATAATTATTGTTTCAGGCTTCATCCTGGCGGGCGTGAGATGTTACGTGTTACACTGCGTGCCGCTGCCGGTCGAGTCGCCGGTCGCGACGCCGATTCCGCCGCCGACGAGCGAGCAGGCGCCCGCCGTGCCTAAGGGCACCCTGGACCTCCTGGTAGGCCATCAGAGCCAGCCGGAGACCGACGCTCTGATGCAGCATCGGGAGCACCATCACCATCATCAGCACCACAACTACCATCATCACAACAACCACAAGAAGAAACGTAGTTCTCAGGGCTCGCATTCCGAAGAGGCCTAAAATACAAACCAAGTGGAAGTAGGGCGAAATGGGGGGCGGGGGGAAGAGGGGCTTTACGGGGGGATCCCGTTCGACGATCGCGCGAAGGTCCGGCAAGAGACTCTCGGGAGAGACGAGGGGGAGAGGGGCGGGAGGTGGACGCTGGGGCTGGGTGAATTTCTTCGGAAGGGAGAACATCGCCATTCTTTCGTAACATCTTCAAGTGTATGCGGAATTTCCCAGAACGCGGCGCGTCCTCCGCGAACGGGGGTGAGGAAACTATACGCGAAGAAGCTGGACGGGGGTGAGAGATGACACGGGGCGGTGTCGCTCTCGACGTCGAGATACGAGCGGCGAGTTGTTAACGGCGCGAACGAACGATCGGAAGCCGTGGTTGTTTGGCCCTCGAGAGGAAGCGCCGATGTCTGGGACATCCTGTATATATCCTGTACATATGTCAATGTGTATAGATATGAGAGTAGAGTGGTTTTCTATCGCGTCTAAAAAAAAAAGAAATAAATAAAACAAAACCAAAGAGAAAAAGGGAGAGAGACCGCCGGGTATGTTTCTTCTCGTAAGAAAAACAGAAATAACATTTTGTTTATCAGTGGTATAAAGCGAAAGGTCTATACTACCGGCACGAGTACATGAGATTTCGACTTTTGACATTCTTTTTGTAACAAGGGAAACTGCTAATCAGGCTTTGGCGAAGCGTCGGCGAAATCCTAGTTACGTACATTGGTATCTATATACATATATAAAATACGACAACATAACTAATTTACGTTGCAAATGTATATGCCGAGGCAAGTGCACTTTTCTACCTGATGTACCGAGGATTCGATATATCTAGCGACATTCTTTTATCACGAGACTTCTAGTAGAGACATTTCGTAGAGGAGACGTTCAATCTCTGCCGTTTGGCACAGAGTGGTTCATTACCGGCGGTGCGACGGACTGGCGACTTTATGCAAGAGAGAAACAACAGTTGAGAAAACTTTTTCCATAAAAGATAATTACCGACATCCCTCGTCACTCGGAAACTCGGTCAACTTCCGACGCAGTCGACGCTCTATCGAATAAGATGATTTAACTGCCTGCTTAAAATTGATTTAAAAAAATTGACAAGAACGTTATTTTCTTAAATATACATATTTACGCTCGGAGCCGCTGCGTCGAGTCGAAAGTTATAAACGGATGCCACTGAGTCTCTTATTTTCAGTCTCGTTTCTTCCCCGAAGCGGAATACGGTAGTTTCGCATACACAATTTCACTCCTTTATCTACATTTCTCACGTAGAATTACTTATTTCCGAGTCGTACTGCCGATAACGCACCGCTCTGTATACAAATCGTATTTATTTCACTCGGAAGACACGCGCGGGAAATCGGTGTATGGAAGGAACGTCGTAGGTATCTACGCGATTGATCTCATACGCGCGTCGCTTCATCTTCGATATTCCCGACGAAGAACCTCGTAGAGATAACACAATTTATATAGAATTCGATTTAGAGCGTGGGTAGTCGAGAGGGGAGCGAGAGCGACGACTGACGGAAATGACGTAGGGGCAGGGGGCGCGATTGTAAAAAAAAAGAAAACACGTCGATGTCGATACTTTAATAACTTAATTAGTGATAAGGTTTTTCCAGCACCCTCGCGCACTAATTAGCAAAACCTCGATGTTACTTCTTCCAGAAAGGTCTTAGCGAATCGGAAACGAAATAGTCACGCTCGCGGCTGTTACCTAACAATCTTCGCAGGGCGCGTCACGAAACGCGCGACGCAGAAAGGCGCGTCTTTTGCGTAAACAAAGAGTACATGTACATTATCTTTTTACACTCGATATATATATTTATACCTAAGCGAGACATTAACAAGAAGTCTGTGCCTGCGCGCGGAGAAAGCTTCGTTCGATCGTCGAATTGATCAGGTCGTTTGTGTTCGTTCAACAGCTCACTGGTACAAATTCACCTGGACGCGTGAACCGGTGTCGCCTGGTGGTGCCGCGCCTCTTACGCGGGCACACGCGATTATTCGTCACGCCGGCTCGACGGGGCGTGATCCACGGGTTCGATGCATTATTTGTAAACGTACGTTTCTCACGAGAATAATTCTCGGCGCGCGGATACACGTTCGTCTATTGGGGTCCACTTAAAGTTATCGCGTTTAAAATTTAAAAACGCTGTACTAACAATTGCGAGGATGTTTTACAAAACTGGCGTACTATTAGGACGATCCCGATGTTCACGCGCAGCGAGATATCGCGGGATCTCGCGCGGTCGCATCTTGCACTTCCTATGTTCTCTCATTCACTCGGCAGGCATTTATGTGCAGGCAGGAGCAGAGGAGAATATCATTAATGTACACATACGCAATTATGCAAAACGCGCACGCACACAAACGAGCACGAGATATATATGCACGAGAAATCTAGCATTAGCGGTCGGTCTGTTGCACTAACGCGTTGCGGTTTTAGTTGATCTATCTCTGGGTGGATGTTAGAGGTCTCTTCTTAGATATTCAGATTCCGTCTGTAATATAATAACCGAGGATAGAGAGAGAGAGATTTAATTAGCCACCGTTATGTAGAGCAGTGACCGTCGTTGGTGCAATCAGTCCTAAATAAAATAGCGCATCTGTCTAGCGATAAATCCGCGACGGGTGTAAATATAGTGAGACGAGCTGTAAAGTGTAAACCGCGAAAGTTTGCGATAATCACACATCCGCGAGGTAATTCGCGTAAGCCACGCAACATTTAGCTCTCGTGACAACCTGACCTTCGCACCACACACGCTTTATTTTGCAGTAAAATAAGAAGACGGCTGTACCCGGTGTCGTTTTACGGGGGATTCAAAAAGTTTTTCATATTTTCTCGAAACGACGGGATTTTACTTTCCCGAGATAGTAGAAACGATAATTGCGGGCATGCGGCGTTAAGGATTTTAAGCAACTTCGGCGTAAAATGCGCGTTCACGCACAGTTTATAAATAGGCCGGACGTATTGATTAACAGCACTCTCGAATTTAACCGTGAAGCTTGTATTGTTGCAAGAGAATTATTAATAATGATTTTTTTAATAACACAAGTAGTCACTAATTACCGAAAGGGCTTTTCGTGAAAATGATCGATTAGTATCGCCGTGTTCCAATTCGATAATACTTCATTCATTTAATAATAATTAATTTACAACTACTAAAAATAACGAAGCCTTCGACTATATCTACCCTATCATATTTTGAATCATACAAAGGGTACAGCTAGTTTGATACAAATTACACACACGCACGCACGCACGATACACAAACATTTTTATCGGTCAGCACACTGCCTAATTTACACACGATGCTCATGAAATCGCCGCGATTGCCCTCGTAACGAAAATCTGCTTGCGTTGTACAGTGAAGAAAGGATGTCGGTGCATTTCGAAGCAGAATTTTGCGTGGCAAAATGACGTCGTCAGGGTTGATTCGAAGAAGCGGGGTGCATAGAAAGACAAAGATCACCCCGCTAAGAATTTGAGGGTCGCAATCACCGAGCCTGTCATGCTTTCGCGCATCCCTCATCGCACCATTACGCATATCGTTTCGCCTTTCCTTTCCCTACATACGTTGGCGCGTGTTGTGTAACATGTCCCCTACTAGACGAAATACTTAAGAACGTTAGCGTGTACATAGCGCTTCGTGCAAACTGGCGATAACCGTATGTCGAGAGTAGCTGTATATTTAGAGCGCGTAGAACACAGGTTCATATATTCATTTAGGAAAAGTTCTCTCCTCTCACACGTAAACATATACAATATATATATATATACATATATATATATATACATAAACATATAGTAAATCCTCGCTGTTGGTTGTTCCGATCGTTGCCGTTTCCGTTACTCTTTCCGTTTAAGAGAGCCCGAATGATAGGTGCCAATCGTAGCGAATGTGTATTTAAAAAAAGGGGGGGGAGACGAAGAAAAACGGTACTATCGTTGCTTGTTAAACGCGCATCCGGAGATTATATTAATTACTTCAGCGCACGCTCACATGCAGAGACACATCGAGTGCCCACGTATTCGTGACACGAGGAAAAACGAAATCAACCCGGTGGTTCATCGTTCGGTTGCCAGTGAACGAACAACGAGATCTCATTGTGGTACCGAGGCGCTCGTGCACCCGCGATAGACAACTTATCCTGCGGTGGTCCAGCGCGCCTGCCTTGTTTCCCGCTGCGTTTCCGCGCGTATTATACATATGTATGCCTGGAATTTCTTTGGTTTTTTTTTCGCTAATTTGCGAGCGTCGTCTCGGCAGTTGTTCTCGACCCTTTCCACGGGAGTCGAGAAACGAGGTCTTCGCAAGCCGCGATTCACGGCTGGAACGCTCGAAATCTTGTAAGACACAACGTAAACACAAACGAACAAACATGTGCATACACATACATACACAGAGGTGTATACCGTTCTTTTATTATGTAATTATGTATTACTTTTTTATATGCGTATACTTGCGTCGTCCACTTATTTATATCTCATCTCATCGCGCGCGAGAGAATAATATAGCGCTAGCTTAGAGGAGAAATTGCGGCTTCTTGTAAATCTATGATAGCGACAACTCTATCTCTTCTACACTTGTGGTATGTATATTCGCGCGTTATATCGACGACCAATTATTATGAATGAGAGAGGCGAGTGCGCGCAAAGGCGGAGGTGCAAAAAGTGCTTTTTTCAGAAGACGATCTTTCAGATTTTGTATAAACTTATTATACAATATTATATGTATACACTCTATCTTCCTATATATCTACAGGATGTCCCAGACCGTGCCGTGTCACCAGTTCTAATATAGCGGATTTCCGACATCACTTTCAGACGAAAATCCTGATAGCAAAACGCCGAGGCTATACAATAGATTTTAGATAAAAAGTTTTTCAATTCAAAGTTGACCGATAAAATTATTGGAAATACGTGCGCTCAGTCAAGTTACATATTGCACAGTAGTGAGCGTGTTTTCGAGCGCATCTTTTTTTTCTATAGAATTGCTCGAAAGTACCTTCACTATTGGGTTGCGACCGGGTGAATTTTGGAAAATTTGATCGTTCAACCTTGAACACTTTTTATTTAGAAACCTATTGTAGCCTCGGTCTTTTGGAGCAGGACTGTCATCTCAAAATGACGTTCAGAAATCGTTAACAGGTGGCACGGCAGGTCTGGGATACCTTGTATAATATAATTATAATTATAATTATACTGTTACACACGCGCAGAGCCATATCTGCAATTCTGTGAACGTTCCGTTCGCGCGGCCGAACGGCGATTATGAAAGTTTCGTCACCACACTCTGCCCGAATCTCTCGTAACAGCGAGAGTGTCTCGGCGTGATCGACGATGATCGTTCTCGTCTCTCGGCCCGTCGATTCGGCTGGAACCCAGATAGCACGCAGAATCCAAAGAGACTTGTTCCTATTCTTGAATTTCCGAATCGCGACGTGGATTCTTTTTCCATTTTATTCCTGCAAAAAGAATTCGCTTTCATGTCATTGAGTCTCTTTTTCGACTTGAATGTAATTTCACAAAAAGTCACAAGGTATATACTTCCATGGAAAAATCTTTTCGAATTTACCGAAAAGGAATCCTTCCGTTTTGAAGAGGATTGCGCCAATTCGTAAAGAACTTAAAAAGTAGAACACCCTCAAATTGACGTCGGTCCTTAGTAGCACAGTATGTGGGCTAAACATTGGCCCAATACAACCAAATATTGGGCCAATGTTTAACCAATGTTTGGTCCATGCACTGTGCTACTAGGGAGAACCTAGTAGCGAATCCCTAGTAGCACAGTGCATGGACCAAACGTTGGCTCAATACACCCAAATATTGAGCCAAACATTGGTGAAACATTGGCCCAATATTTGGTTATTGGGCCCAGTGTTTGACCAATGTTGGGTCATACACTGTACTACTAGGAATTCGCTACTAGGTTATCTCTAGTAGCACGATGCATGGCCCAAACATTGGTCAAACATTGGCCCAATATTTGGTTGTTGGGCCCAATGTTTGATCCATGTTTGGGCCATGCATTATACTACTAGGGATTCGCTGCTAAATTATTCCTAGTAGCACAGTGCATGGGCCAAACATTTGCCCAATACAACCAAATATTGGGCCAATGTTTGGCCCATGTTTGGGCCATGCATTATACTACTAGGGATTCGCTGCTAAATTATTCCTAGTAGCACAGTGCATGGGCCAAACATTTGCCCAATACAACCAAATATTGGGCCGATGTTTGACCAATGTTTGGTCCATGCACTGTGCTACTAGGGGTTCGACGTGAATTTGAAGGTGTCGATGTCGATTCGACATCGTATCATTTCTCACTTGGTTGTGAGTTGGTAACGATCACCCCGTGCTACATGGGAAGCGATCGCTTAAGGAACGGGATCGGCCACCGTCGTTGACGTTGCGGCGAGTAACGGGCGATATTAACCATGTATGTGATTCTACAATTAAACAGAAAACTGTAAGCAGAAGTCAACTCTATCGCTATTTTAACTTTCAGAGTTTAATAAAACGTTTTCACTAACAGCAAGCGGTCTAGTTGTGAATCACCGTGTCGCGTATCTATCTCTGCGATCTCTGCGCTATTAACAGGTATGGAAACGCGATGTCGCGGCACGATATCGCGATCCTTGCCCTGCGATCTCGACAACGTCCGCCCAGAAGAGCACTCCAGGGTACCAGGGGGTTTTCATTTTTCTTCTCCAAACGAAAGATCCGCGAGTCGCACCTTCGTGTGCACTTAGTGCGCGCTAGTGCAAGCAATCGACTTCGCTATAACTCACGAAGGAATTATTAATCTCTTGCCGTTAAGCGAGAAAAATACGCGGGATGAAGAGCGGGAACGAGCCGTGGACCTTTCTGTTACAAATCGCTAGCACTGGAGCCACGTGTCATCTCCAGGTGAGCTTTCGCGGAGGCGAACCTTCGGGGGGAGTCGGAGAGAGGAAGGTTTGTTTTGGAAACGTCGCGTAGCGTCGCAGCAAAATGGACCAACGTATAGGCGATGTGCGCGCGCGCAGCGCGCACCAGATGGTCGTCGGTGGTGACGATACTTTTAGCCCGGTGGGCGGCTGGCTGAGGGGTGGTTTTATCGACCAGGATACGCGAATCTCACTGAAAAGGTTCAGTAGTCGCGGGACCAGCACCCCGTCAGAACGGCTTTCGCTAAAACGCCTCATACGCGGACGCTTCTACGGTGCTCCCGTTTTTTCTCTTTCTCTCTTTCTCTCTCTCCCCCCGTTTCCTCCACTTCTCTCACCCTCCGCACTCTCTCCTCTCGATCCTCCTCTCGGCACAGTTGTCCAGCTTCGCCCCTCGCTTTCCGCTCCCTCGCGCGCAAGGTGTCTCGCGACGGCCGCGGCGAAAACACGACGTGAACCGAGGAGGAGGAGGGTGCCATATTCTCGCGTACGAGCGATCCTGGATTTAGCTGCAGCAAGTAAGTGAAACGCGGGGGGAGAGAAAAGTGCGTGGGAGCGAGCGGCTTTCATCCCCCGCGCGTAAATATTTTCGAAATGCAATCTCGGCTCTTCGCCGCGTTCGATTCGTCGCTTGTTCGACGCGATTCGCGACTCGCGCGGTCGCGCCGAAAGGTAAATACGTCACGGGTGTGCGAGGTCTTTTTGCTAATGACGCATTGCAACGTGATCTCTTTTTTCCCGTTCCTCGCCCTCGCGTTCGTCTTTCCAGCCGCGGTCTGCGCGGGAGACCGTTCACGCTCGAGAAAGCGTTCACGTGCGGCCTCGCGAGTCATCTTCAATCGTTAATTCTTCAGGGTGAACAAATATGGGGCAATCGGAGCTGTTGTGGCTCCGATGCGTCCACCCCTCCCCCCCCCCACCCCGTTATCGTTCCCGTTCACGGTTTAGCGTATCGCGTTCGACGTAGGGAGTTAACCTACAATTGTTATTTACAAATCCGAGTCAGGCCGTGGAATTTTTAGTCCGACGCGGGTTTTCGCGGGGAGACGCCTCTTTCAAGCCGCGGACGGCGTTCTCGTTTTAGAACGCCTGGGTCCGGCGGTTGAACGCTTATCGGCGAAGCGTGAAATTTCCCCTTGGACGTTGAATGTGCAATGGTGACCCATTTATCGATTTTCCGAGATTTTAGTGGAACGTATCCGACGACGCGCCGCTCGCGCCGTTGCCACGGGGCGGAGGAGAAGAGAGGGGACAGAGAGGGTACCGAGCCCCAGTAGAAAGACAAATCGAGGGGAAAGTCAGGAACCTCTCCCTCCCTCCCCCCCCCCTCTCTCTCTCACACACAAACATACTTTTGTAATGATGCTATCAGCTCTACACTATGGGTGCGTTCCGTTTCACGCGTGATGCATCCATTTATCCTTGTTATTCACCAAATGTTAAGGAAGGATAAACGATGCATTATACACATCATGCGTGAAACAGGACGCGCCCTATGTATTCTCTCTGTATTTCTGTTTCTGCGCTTTAGGGAACTTGTCCCAGGACGCCAATAAACATCTCTCTTTTTCTCTCTCTCTCTCTCTTTGTCTCTCTTTGTCTCTATCTCGCGCATCTCGTGCCGGAGCGTGTCGCGGACAGCTCCGGATTACACGTCAACGAGATGCGCGGGGCGGAATGTTTGTCATCTGTCACGTCCGCGACAGTCGACAAATATCGAACGTCCGCCCGCCGCCGGTTGGCCGCGTCTCTTCTCTCGGGCGCTCGCTCGGCGTGCGTCGCCGAGGCCGCAGTGAAATCCGCGACGGAGAGGAAACGGGACGTGCATACGCGCAGCGTCCATATGGCGTGCAGTAACCTCGATTATCGGAAACTGTTATAGCTATATTTTTCTGGAGCGCAGCCAAACGGAATATCAAACGGCGAGGCGGAGCGCGGCCCAAGGCTGAGCGGCAGCGAGTCAATGCACGACAAGTATAGGTCGTTGCCGTAAATTAATCCCCCTCCAACCCCCCGCCACCCCACCCCCGACCCCTCCCCGCGTCGGGTTTTCGAGGGAAGCTCGATTGACGACGACTCGGCCTCCTCGGTCGCCGGATCAAACGTGAAACGTTGTCGTCGCGGCCGCGAGAAACATATCGCGCCTGTCGGAGCAGGCATCGTTTTCTTCCCTCAAATTTAGGGTAGAGCCACTTAGCTCGCCTTACAGGGAAAAATTCGGGCAAAAGCCGAAAAGCCCCTCGTTATCTTGAAAATGAAAGAGCTCTTCTCCGTCTTGAACATTTTTTAGCCGGTTTTTTCTTCTTTAACTGAGCGGAAGCTCGATTGACGACGACTCGGCCTCCTCGGTCGCCGGATCAAACGTGAAACGTTGTCGTCGCGGCCGCGAGAAACATATCGCGCCTGTCGGAGCAGGCATCGCTTTCTTCCCTCAAATTTAGGGTAGAGCCACTTAGCTCGCCTTACAGGGAAAAATTCGGGTAAAAGTCGAAAAGCCCCTCGCTATCTTGAAAATGAAAAAGCTCCTCTCCGTCTTGGGCGGTTTTTATCCGGTTTTCTTCTTTAACCGAGCGAAATAGTGCGCGCGAAAGAATAATACAGCTGAGAGAAAAAAATTCTCTCCGTGCGTTCGAAACAAAGATCCAGCTTCGTCTTGGCTCAACGTAGAACGGCCCGCGAGTTGGTACCTTCCAGGGTAAACCACCCCGACGTGGCGCCGAGCCAAATCGCGCGGATGCGCTCCGGGTTCCTTCGGAAAAGCGAAGAAAAGGGGGGAACCGTAAACCGCGCGCCGCGGGACTCGTGCGTGAAATCGAGCGATATGCGGAATCGCGCGGATTTACGAAGACGTCGGATATCCTTTCCTCCCTCTCCCCCTCGCGCCCGCTACCCCCTCGAGATTCTGGCAGGAATCCAGGCTACGAGATAGGCGGCAATACTAGTTGCACATTCGCGCGCGCCTATAACCCGGCCTACTCTATACGATGCACGTGGTGCCGCAACCATGACATCGGGGAATCAGGCCACCGTTCCACTTTACGCCCTTCTAAAGCGATAACGGCCGTATATCCGACTGTTTTATGCGCGCGTACGCCGCGCCGCGCGCGATTCGGCAATTCTGCGAAATCGAGACCCTCCTGTTTGCGATCCTCTCTCTCTATCTCCGTCGCCCGGAGTAGAGACCCTGCAATCAGAGACTAGCCATAAGAGTTCGTCAAATTCCCGCGAGTGAGAGAGAAACATAGGCCATCCCGCTCTTTTACGACCGTAGAAACATAGACCGTAATCAGAGACTGGCCATAAGAGTTCGTCAGATTCCCGCGAGTGAGAGAGAATCATAGGCCATCTCACCCTTTTACGGTCGTAGAATCGTAGACTGTAATCAGAGACTGCCCATAAGAGTTCAAATTCCCGCGAGTGAGAAAGAAACATGGGGCATCTCACTCTTTTACGATCGTAGAATCGTAGACTGTAATGAGAGGACTGGCCATAAGAGTTCGTCAAATTCCCGCGAGTGAGAGGGAAACATAGGCCATCACTCGCAGAAATTGGACGAACTCTTATGGCCAGTCTCTGATCGCAGGGTCTCTAGCCCGGAGTGTTCCACCGCGACGCTTTAATCCTTTCAATTGCACGAAAAAAAAATGGCGCTTCAGCCGCCACAAGTGCAGCAAGGGACACGCTTCTTTTGCTTATTCTCGCGTTCCTCGCGAACGCAGTCACGCGAGATCGCACTTAGCGCGTCGACGGGGCTCTAACGAATCCCTCGGATTACGCGGGAGAGAAGGGAGACAGGGTTTGTGTCGCGTGTTTTTTTTTTAGCGGTGTGCGCACCCGCACCCCCGTGCTGGCTTCGGTTGTTCGATAATCGAGGTACAAAGGTCATCGCCCTCGCCGCGAACATATCTAGGCCACCGACACCACCGACGTTTGCCAGTAATCGCCATCGCCGTTGCACATTCGAGTACCAGAGCTGTTCCTCAACGCTCGTGGGAACGATTACACCCGGGCGGCACAGGGGATTCAAAGAGAATTCTTTCTCATTTCCCGAATTGTGAAACGATTTCTTGTTCCGTCCCATCTCACCCTTTTGAGAGACGTTCTTAAGGGGAATTCGCTTCTCTGGCCGATATTCATAGTCCGTTCTTATATTTTAGATTATTTTAAGTATACTCTTAACGTGTTTTCGACCAATCGGTGAGAAATGATTCGTCGACCGATGTCGAAACGATGTCGAATCGACGTCAATGGCCGCGTTCAGCAGAAAAGGTTGCTTTGCAACTGTTGTATAAAATTCGTGAATCTGATTGGCGTATACTCGTAAATTCGCTCAAGATTTAGAGAATACGCCAATCAGATTCACGAATTTTGCAACAGTTGCAAAGCAGCCTTTTCTGCTGAACGTAGCCAATTTGACGGTGACGATGTCGATTCGATATCGTTTCGGCATCGAATCACTTCTCACTGGGTAGCGTCTTAAGACAACACTTGAGACAATTTTGAGATAAGAATCGACTATGGCTGTGTTCCGATATTCACTGCCAGTACTGCAATCTATAGTTTACGTCACGTATACTACACATTTTCAGTACTGGCAGTGAATGTCGGAACACAGCCTATGAATACCGGTCTATGTCGTCGATTCTGAGCTCTTATTCGGATACAGGAAGAGCAAAGCAGCCAGCGATTCAATCGACTCTCACTGGCCAGAGGACAATTCGTCAATCGCTAATCCCAATCCAATCCAGTCGGCAATCGCTCTGATTCGGCCTAAGGTATAATAAACGCGATCGTTACGCAAGCAGGTCATTACGGCAACATTCGGGCGATATAATTCGACCGGGCACGTTTCGCCACCGCTTCTGACGCTTCCCTCCACGATCTCGTTTCAGAATGATCACCGCGTTACCGGTACCTTCGGTGAAGGTCTTCCACAAGACCTACTACCAGGAGAAGAACTCGCGGATCGGAAACAGCCAGCCGGGTAGCCCGCTGGCGGAGAGCGAGGCGGTGCTGGCGATGCTAGACAAGGAGCCGCCGGAGTACTATTTCTGCGGGAAGGTAAGGACGCGCCGTCGCTCGCTACTGCCGGTGATGGGATCGCGGTACCAAGCGGTAAATGTTGCTCCAGGTCAACTCGCTGTACGTCGTCGTCGGCTCGCTGCTGCTGGGGGCCGTGGTGCTGGTCGTCGGTCTGGTGCAACTCGCGCCGGGCGCGGAGGCCGCCCGGAATTCGGCCGCTCTGATCGCCACCGGAAGCGGCCTGCTCGTGATAGGGGTGTTCCTCGCGCCCCTGCGAGCCGTCTGCATCAGGAAGCAGACCGCGGGCCAGAAGGACGGCACCCATCAGCGCAGCGTCACCAGCATAGACATGCTGCTGGCCCAGCACAGGTAAAGCGGCCGATCGCTCTTCTTCAGCCTCTTCTTTCGCCGGACAACGAGCTCGTTCCTTTCCGAGTTTACCCTGGACAAAAATTTACCTTAAATGAAATAAAGTTTTTAAAAGCGATCTTTCAAATCTATAAGAGTTTACTTGAGAAATTTTAGAGTAATTTTTAGATATTTGGGGGGTCGCGTCGCGTTAAGCTCACCGTAATCCCGGCCTTTGCTCCCTTATTCGCGGCCGCGAGAAGGCGCGGATTTCCCCACGCGCTCCATAATCACCGTTGTATCGACAGGGACTTCACGGTCCTGACGCCCGACGAGCTCGAGGACCTCGTGGGCCGGCCGGCGTCCAACAATCCGGAGAACAAGCCGCACAGGCAGGGCCACAACACCTAGGTACCGATCGCCTCGAGGAGGGCACCGCCTTCCGCGTCGTCGTCGTCCCCGCCGTGCTCGAGCACCACCACGCCGCCGTCGTCCGCCGCGTCGCCAGGACCAAACTCCTCCATTCTGTACACGCATCGTTACGATACGCGCGAGCACAGTTTGGTTTAGATCGATGTGCACTCACACCGCCGCCGCCGCCGCCGCCATTAGCGTAGGGCCCCGCACGTAGGGCCTCCTCACGCATCTTTTCTAACGCGTGCACCGCGCAGCCGAGGGCAACCCCGCGAGCGGGACGCGACACCCTCGGGGAGGTGATCGTAGGCTTAAAAGCGTGCGCCCCGTCGACCCGAGCGAGGGGGGACTAGCCGACACGCACGACACGTAGAATTTCATCGTTCCCCGGGATACTCCGACGAGCTGATCGGAGACGCTTCAGAGTCGATTCATCCCGCCGTCGAGTCGAGTGTACGAAACGGTTTTTACAGACGCGTGTGTGTCCACGAATTTGACGTCTTACAAGTGTCTTTGAGAAACGTATGCTTCGTACTTTACGTATACGGCCCGCTTGCGTTTTGTATTTTCGATTCAAGCGTGTTGCCAGGAGTTTATAGATATCGGGAGAAAAAAGAAATTCATCCCCCGGCGGACACGCGCTCTCTGTTCTCCGATCCGAGGGGTGGCCGCCGAGGGTTTTTCAGCGACACGCTACGTTGCTATAGCGCTTTGCGGTTTAATTGTTGCCGGAATTCTTGTCAATGACGTTTCGACGCCGCGGACGAATCTATATACGTTGACATCCCTGAGAAATGATTTTCGTAAATCTCCGACACGACGGGTGTTGATTTCTCAAAGACTAAATTGTGTTCAACTGACGAGTGAATGAAGTACGTTACCGAGTAACTTCGTCGCGAATCTCCATTTAGACAAAGATACATCCATAAGTAAGTAAATATATAGATATATAGATAGCGTTGTACAACATACATCTTCGATAGAGTTCGAGAATCCTCGCGATTTGTTATCAATAGGGCGATAAAAGAGAGCAGACGACATCGCGCGCGTACGGAGGCGTCTTCTCGCGAATACTTGTTCGTTAAATATTTAAGAACGCGCTCGCGCGCCGCAAACGTCTTAACGGAGGTTGATGCGTACAGCCCTACGTCGACAGACTATAATGTCAAGATCGTTGGAAGAGGCAAAACGGCGCGCAATAAGCCGGGATCGGATAAGTAACGGCGAACCTCACGAGCGATGGAACATACCGAGATCGATATAATACGCTTATACAAAGTGGCGTGCGAAAAGTGGGAATCAGCGGGGCGGGCGTTGAATGTTCTGTGTTGCGCGCGTTTGCATGTGTGTGTGTGTGTGCGGCGTGTGTGCGCGCGCGCCTGACCCATTGAGTTTCAAAGTCCCCGGCAAAAATTTGTGCGCCAGGCGCAATTAGCTCTCACCTTCAAAACTTCTGAGCCTCTAATCGCCCGTCCGGGATACGGGACCTTGATTTATAAATTCCCGCCGAAACGGGGTCGACGCGAGGTCGCGAGAACGCCCGGGAACGCTGATCTCCACCTTTTTACGCGAGCCATTAGATACGAACGCTTTCGGATGGATATTGGATATCGAGTCGACGACGGTCTCTCGTTAGGGAAGCGAGAAATCTGATATTTGTCTCGGCCGCGCGGCGACTTATCGATCCAACTTCGATAGAACGTCTCCGGCTCGAGGGCTTCGATTCTTTAGGGACGGGAGTTCTTATTTCGCGGCCGCGCGCGCGCGCGCGAGAGAGAGAGAGAGAGAGAGAGAGAGAGAGAGAGAGAGAGAGAGAGAGAGAGAGAGAGGGAGGGAGAGACAGAGAGTAAGCACACGGAAGTGACGCCTAACATAGAAACATAAATCAAAACTCACGTAAGAGGCTAACGATAAGTGATTCCGATCCACATTTCTTCACTTTGTACGCTAAAAAGGGTATATCGTATTTAGGTCTCGTCCCTACAAATTGTCCGCAAAGATATTCCGTAAGATTATTATTACCACGCGATTTTGACACGCGTATTTCACGCGCTCGACCTGCGAACGCGATCTCGTGAGCAGGTCCATTGTTTAATTGAGAATTGGCAGATTGACGCCCAAGAAAATACTAGCGATACGTTTGCAGAATTTGTTCCGAGTTTTCTCTCATAGTAAGGATATTGTCTAACGATAAGTCTCGAGCTTCTCTTGTGCGAGGATATACATATTGATTTCGAGCGAGCAGAGTGCAGCTTCGAAGAGGAAACATATCTACCGAGTCGGCTACTAGTAGAGATATATTTTTATTGTATCATTCTAGCGCGTATCATACGTATCATACGTATCACGCGCGCGAAGGCGGGAGAGAGCGATCAAGAGACAAAACCTGTCCACTGTTTATCGATTTAAAAAAACAAGAGGTTCGCATTTGCCGCAAGATTCCTATTGAATATTTGCCTTAATTTCGGAGTCTAGAGATCACCGTTGAATATTAACGATAAATTCTATTTGAGAAATTCTAGTCGCGGGCGAGGGAAGGGTTTAATTATATATTTAAAGGGCGCGAGTTTTTCATATTTTAAGGTCACCCTTCAATTTGCCGTATCTTCGAATGCGGTTCGTCGCGCGCCTGGGGAGAGACCCTCGCCAGGGTATCATTTGCTGCGGTAGGACTTTTAAAACGTAACGCGACCTTTTGCGGGCGAGGCACAACAGGGAAGGAATAAACGCGCGGACGTCGCCGCGCCGTTACGATGATATTGCAACAACAATGAAGTATTGGGACCGGGAGAGGAGCTCGGGAATTGTTTCACTCGCCGGGCGACTTTCCGCGTCTGGAACGGTTCACACCGCGGACCCCTGTTGTACGAGAAGGATCATACGTAATTTTAAGAGATTCAACGCACAGAATTAGCCGTAAGCATTTTTATAATGGTGTTCTATGTATATTAATAACTACTAATACTATTACCCATCACACAAACTAAACACACACGCAGGCACACACACACACGCATACACAGATACACACACACACACGCACACACGCACACACATACAACACAGAAACACAGATAGCCCGATTGTGATCCGGCCGCGAATCGGTCGGCGGAAGTGTTCTTTGTACATGTTGAAATCATCATCCCTAGGACTGAATAGTAAATACGCGCCTAGCCTTGTACATACGAACGTTTGTAACGCGAACAAAACAGAAACGAAAAAAAGGGGAGACAATTCCCAGATAGCACTCTTTTTTTTTTAATTCTTCGACTGTGAAACGAACTCTTTTTTTTCCACCCCATTTCCGTTCTAAAAATATACTCAAGAGTTCGAAAAGAATGTGCCCTTACGTCACCGACTCTCAGCCCTTTTTTTAATAAGAGGAATTTTTCTTCTCCACATTCGGAGAGGAATTCTTGTAGAGTTCACTTCGAACGGATCGCATTACTTCATAAAGAATTTTGTAAAAAGGGAATCCCTTTTGAGCCTATAACCATCATCCGTGCTACTTGGGAAACCGGGATCGGTGGTGAAACTGATCCTGAGACGAGATATTTGCAGATTTTTAATTAACGTAAAGCAGACCGTGCGTCACGACGTAACCCGTGAAATGCATATCGTACGAGGATTTTTCACGGAAACATCAACACGTCAACCGCGATTGCAGCGTTTCTCTGTGTTCGACGCTTCTTACAAATGTGTTTCGCCGTACACTGTTCATTTTAACGTGAAATATTAATCGCCAATCTTCGGGATGTCGTTCCAACTAAAACAAATCGCTATATCCGAAAGACGAGATTGTCTGTTTGATTACGCAATTGACTAACCCTTAAGCACGCAACTTTTCGCAGCATTCTGAAATTTAAAAAAATTATGGCTGCTTAAGGCATTCCTAGAAAATATTTAAAACATTTCTTTTTTATTAACTTGAACCCTACAGATAATTAAGGAACGTAAAACAGCCCTTAATCTTTAGATTCTCAATCCCCTAATCAAAAGTCAAATTTAGCTCTTTATGCGCGCGCGTTTTCAGTTTGAACTTCACGAGGGAGAGAATACACGGAATATCGAGAAGTCACTTTGCATATATGCAAATTCGCGCGCTTAAGCGTTGCTCGAAGGAGTTTTTAATTTCTTGCGCTCGAAAGAAGATTCGACCACGTGCCAACTGGATTAAGTTTCAGCGCGTGGATTCCAACGTTCGCGAGGACTAGAGGGACTAGAGCCCAACCCGTGAGACGCTGCAATCGCGGCGCTGTCGCACGAGAGAAAATATCTCCGTATTCATGCTGCATATAAATGCATCGCTTATAATCTTACGACGTAACAGTACGTATAATACCGAGAAAGTTCTACCGGATAAGACTTAGACTTTAATATCGTAGCGCGTAAGTATAAGAGAAATGTTGTATCGCGAAGCGTTCGCGATGACGCGGCCATCATTGTTGAGGCTAACCATCCTGGGGCGAGATGAAAAGGGGATGCGCGCCTTTCGTTATTTTAATTCCATATCGCTGCGGCAGTAACGCATACTTTTACTGCGAAATTGCTATTTATATTTTATACCATAACGATCAAACATATAAATATAATATATATATAATTGTTATATTATATATTATATGTATCGGAGATGCAGTGTATACGTTACAATGTATTCGAGGGTTTCCGACGTGAGGGGCACACACCGAACCCCTTCTATCACTGCCAAAGATTCATCGTAAAGCGAGATCACGCGAGAAACACGGACGTCACGGCAATCGCGAGGAACGTCGGCTAAAAACGCGGCTGCGTTAATCGAAACCTCAACAATATGTTCCGCCATTGTGAACATGTCGAAGACATTCTGCGTATATAACAGCTATTATATATACGATATACATATTACAGATATTTTATCGGGAACATTCTGACTTGCTTAAAAGTTGCGTTGATCCGTATATTTTGTAAGCGAAGATTATCAATAGCAGTTATATAATAATAAATATTACTACAATATACCTATGACGCGAGTATTAATTTGAGGAAAGTCCCCCCCTATTATGAGATAGGCTCCTAATACGAGATAGCGGGGGTTTCCGTTAAATTAATTGGCATCCATCGGTCAATTCCACCGTCAATTATAGTAGTTGCCCTCGGAGCGAAATCTGTTTAGTGGAAAATTCATTGTTGGACTGTGATTGAATTTCAACGTTGAAAACCTGCTATCTCGTATTAGAAACTTATCCCATAATAGAGGACTTTCCTCCATATATCTCGAATCTCCTGTCTCAATCTCAGCAGCACCGGGAAAAACGTTAAGCATATATTGACGAAATTAGACCACGTGAAATTAATTTGTAAATCTACAAGAGACAACATTCGCTCTACGTAAAGTCGCACGGTAGCGCAAATGTGGAAACAATGGGAAAGCAAGAGAAATGTGGTGACCGACGGGGGAAACAGTAAATAGCACGAGAGTTCGATTCTACTCGTTGTATTTTTTAATAAAAAGTTTATTCGTAATCAGATCGCGAATTAGAGATTAAGTGACATACATGCAAATCGCGACTCTTTTTTTTTTAATACTCTTCCTTGACACATATTTATATATATGTATATATATGCAAATTATACTCTCTTTACATTTTTTTCACCTCCTCCTAAAATTATATACCGAAAGTTTTATTGATAGGCTCTCCGGTACAGTAATACGGACCGATTAATTTTCTTTAAATATTAAACATAAAAACCTTAAGACTCCAAGTGTACGATAACCTGCGATAGAAACATAATAAAATGCTTACTTTTATTTGGATCATTATTAGCTATGCGAGGGGATAAAGTACAGATTTTCAACGACAATATGTTGGCACTGTCACTTTAGGACGTTTCTTGGACTCCATTTCCGAAAAGAACTCTTTAATATCTTCTTCGCGCACGACCTTCTTGTTTTCAGCGAACTTCTGTAGATACTGCATGAGCCGCTCCTTCATATTGTTGTATTCTGCGAATGATTATAAACAGCTTAACGTTAACGGAAAGCGGTGCAGATTCTTCTAGAAAGCTGAACGCTTTCGAAAACGCTTAACAGAATAATCGGAACCATAGATTTACCTTCAATCGCTGTCAACTTTTGCACATGCCCCATACTGGCAAGAGCCTTCATCCCTTTTTCATATTGAGATTCCTGTTTATTCATTTTGCCCGCTTCCTCATACGCCTGCACGCTGTCTTTCGGATCGAGTAGAAATGCAACGTCCGTTGCATTGTACAACTGCAACAATGATAAAAAGTACGATCAAAGACTGCCGTGCAAGGAAGTTCCAAGGCATGGTTCTTCGTGTAAGAATGAAAACGTGTGAAAAGTCGACGTCTCACCGATTTGCATTCGTCGCAAGTACACAACGCGGTTCTCCAGCCCTCGACCCAAAAACAGCTTCCCTTAGTGTCCGCACAGCTAAGTTTTGGCATTTGGCATCCCTTCGGCAACTCGCTGACGTCTACCTCATCGCTCTTCTCAGATACATCCGGTTTCGCGTCAGTTTTCTTCACGACTGCTCAGAGCAAAGATAATACAGGCTTACAATCGCAGCGTTTACTATCGAAGCAACTTGGCGCGTTTCGAAGAAAGTCAAAGTACCTGCGTATTTCGTTGTGTATCTCCACAGAAAGCTGTGTTCTCTCATGCAGCCTGCGCAGATCATCTCGTCGTACGAGTTGTCTACCGGCGCGCTGTTGTCGCATTCCAGATGCTGAAAAAAAATTGCATTCGACATTTTTAGACGTTACAATCATCGCAAAAGGATCCTCCTGTACGTTTACCTTCAAGTGATACCAATCCTCGCATATTGCACACTGCAGCATGTCGTCCTCGTCACCCTCCGGATCGGGATACGGCCTCGCGCAGGTACAATAAACCCCGTCGAAGTTCTGATTGTACTTGTTCTCAGCGTTGGCGGCGGATTTCAGCTGAAAAGCGCGACGAGCCGTCGGTCAATCGAGGTGCAATCTCACGCAGAAGGTACGCCACGCAGAGGGACCCACTCACCTTCTCCAGATTACACTGCTTGCCGTCGAACTTGGCGTTTCCGCAGTCGCACCTGAAGTGCCGCTTCGTGTACAGCTCCACGAGCTCGTGACCCTCGTGACAGTGGAAGCTGCACGCCAGGCAAACGGCAGCCCGGACCTTGTTCGAGCAGCAAGTCTTGCACGCGTACAACGCCTGCCTCATGTATCCCTGCGAACAATGCGGGCCCAGGAGGCGCGGACGAGTTAGCGTAAACGCTGGAGAACGGGGGACGGTGAATCGCCTCCAAGAGCCAGCGTCGCGGGCGAGGTCGTGAACCTCCTTACCTTGCTGTAAGTACAATTCTGGTCGTCGGACGCGCCCAGCACGGCGCGCGCGTCCTCCTCGAGCTGATTCTCCACCTGGAGAACGTCGAGCATCGTGACGGAACTGTCGTCCTCCACGGACTCGGCCAGCTTGTCGGACATGTCTCCGGTCTCGTCGCGGGACTCTCTGCAAAGGGGCCGACGGCGGGGGCCGCGGGAACTCGGGGACTCGGGGGCAGCCAAGGGCGTCGGGACGAACCGCCGAGGGCGCGGAGGGTTGTCGAGCGAACTGCGAGGCGTCGTACGGCTCTCAAGGGCTGACGCGCTCGACGCGACGCATCTTACCGACCTTGCCGAACGCCCCTGACGCGTGCTCTCGGCGCTCTTCCGCGTCGTGCCAGGACCTCAACGGCGATCCCCGTTGCGTCGCGGCATGCCGGGCCGTCGGGGAGGGAGAGAGAGCGAGGTGGACGCAAACGCGACGATTCAAACCCGGGGGCAGCGGACGAAACGTCCCGTCAAACGCGCGTTGTGTGTACACTCACGGACAAAAAGTGCGCGGCGTTTCCCTCCAACGGACTCCCCATCGTGCGCGCGCATCCGCGTCCAAATAAAAAGACGCGCCCGGCTCTCGGCGAACGGACGATTTTAAATATTTCATACGAGCGGGGATTAGATTCCCCGCGAATCGCCCCCCCCCCCCTTTGATTATTGCACTCGTAACGTAAACGTCCGTCGTTCCTTTCGAGATTTGGGACCCGGTTTAGAACGGACGACGGAATTGTCCAGGGAATGTATCCGTGGATAAATCCGATTCGAACTCTGCGTACGTGCAGGGGGTTGAAGAGAAGAATCAAGGTCAAATCGGAATTGAATCGCCGAAAGAGAGAGATGTGTAAAGAAGAAAAATCTGTGTCGTAATTGGACCCCGATGGAATACATATCTGCCTGAAGTTGTCCCGTGATGGAATACGAATGCGTTCCAAAACGCATCCAAGGAGAACGCGCGCGCGCTTGAGTGGTTATTTTGACACTCGTTTAAAAGAAAAAAAAAACAACAAATAAACGTAATGTATGGTAAACTAAATTCCTGGATAGCGCAGCGAATCCAAAAAGGATTCTTTATGAATTAGGGCGATCTGTTGAAAATTAAGTCCGAAAAGAATTCCTGTCCGGTGCGAATCCTTATAGAGTACAAAACGAATCCCTTTGCATCCGAAAAGGAGCACGCAACTGATTCCTATAGTAGCATAGTGTATTGGCTAAACACTGGTCCAATGTTGGTTACGTTAGAAATGCATTGGCAAATATTGTCCAACGCAAAGCCAATATTGGCCATGGAATAAATGTAAATATTGCACGATAATAATTATATGATATTAGATTTATATTGGAAGTGCATTGGCCAGTATTTGTTAAATAAGAGAAGGCGTCCATCTTACAATATTGGACCAATATTGGGAATACTAGATCTACATTATTTCCCAATATTGCGCCAATATGTGCTACTAAGGATGACGTAAAAGCGTGAGTTCCTCTTGAACTCTAACGATACTTGTAAAACAGAAATGCGACGGTGATAAAAATTAAAAAGTGCATTGGCCAATATTTGATAAATAAGAGAAGGCGTTCCAGCAAACACAGAACATAGCAGCAACATTACGGCAATATTGTAACATTGTAACAATATTACAGCAATATTACAGTATTGCCGCAATGTTGTTGCAATGTTCTGTGTTCGCTGGGGTCCATCTTACAATATTGGACCAATGTTGGGAATACTAGATTTACACAGCCCTAGTGGTCGAGCAGGTAAGACGCCCGTCACGGATTGACGGACGTCCCAGGTTCGAATTCTGGTTGGGGTAATATTTTTCGCAATAAAATTAATTTACAGGGCGGGGAAAATGGGGGGAGGGAGGGGATTGAATGCTAAAATATAGCATCAGAAAAATGCGAATTCCATTTGAAAAATAATCATCGAATCGAATACGTGAATCTGCTGACGACAATATTTCCACGTGTATGATAAACTGCGTTATGTCCGGAAAAGAAATCGGCGCGTAGTACTAATGTGGAAAGAAACGGTATATAGATTCACGATTTTCAGAAAGATTTAAGATTTGCAAGTTGGGCTACCTACATCTTGCCTTGTGACCCACGTGTTACCATATATTGTTTAGATTTACATTATTTCCCAATATCGCGCCCATATGTGCTAGGGACGATGTAAAAGCGCGAGTCCCTTTTGAATTCTAACGATACTTGTAAAACAGAAATGCGACGGTGATAAAAAGTGCATTGGTCAGTATTTAATTGCTAAATAAGAGAAGGCGTCCATCTTTACAATATTGGATCAATATTGGGAATACTAGATTTACATTATTTCCCAATATTGCGCCAATATGTGCCACTAAGGATGATATATAAAAGCGTGAATTTCTTTTGAACTCTAACAATACTTGTAAAACAGAAATGCGATGGTAACGAAATTCTTAATTTCGGGAATTCGAAAAGAATTGTTTTTGTCGATTCTCCGTTGTTTGAAGAAGCTGGCTATTTCGGTACATTATATATTCATTACCTTCGCTACTGCGGAAATTATGTGTCGAATTATAAGTGCCAAATGTAACGCGGAAAAAGATTACTATAAAATAATTACTAATAGAACAATTAGTCGCAGAAATCAATGACGGGGCTTCCGTGTGCGCGCGCGCGTACGTTCAAGGTATCTTCATCCTCCACATCGATCCGGCAAAGTATAAACGGGACGATGGCGCAAACGTATGAGTAACGAAAAAAAAAATTATCGAGCGTGGGTGACTGAACGAGAAGTCGAATCCGTAACCCTTTGTCGTCTCGACGACTACTTGTACTTTTAAAACCACCGACTTACCCTAAAACTCTTCCCTCGCGTGCGCACCTCCGGCAACGTTACAATCGACGATGTGGAGAAAGAGTCCTTTTTTTTATGTCGAAAGAAAGAGGAGTCGTAGATTTCCATCCCTTTTCATCGGGAATATCATTTTCATCGGACAGCACGAAATATCGAGCACAAGCTAATTCTATGCACTTTGATGCGTGTTCCGCGGTGCCGTTCTGTTTGAAACGCACCTCCATTGTTTCCGCTGCCGATAGCTTATCTGCAAATTTCATCGAATTCGATTAAAGCCCGTTTCGACTTGGCTTGAACTCGGGAGAGAGCCGTTCATTTAATTTTCCCGAGTCACGGATTACGGTTAAGATATAAGAACTGGCTTCGAAGTAACGCTATCACGTGCAGCTCTTCGACAATATTTTCAATTTTCACGAGTGCAGAAATCGTTAATCAATGTAATGGGTATTTTTTTCTCTCGCGTGCTGAAAACTATCAATGCTACACCGGCAATGTTTCGCTCGACAATACAGGGACTTTATCTTCTAAGTAAAGAGAATCGTAAATGTGTCCTCTGAATTTAATGGGAAAAGACAGCGCTAACTGATGCCATATCTGATGTGACTCGCAATCTACAGCTTCCTGGAAGTTTTACCGTTCTCTTTGAAGTGCAATTTTTCTTATGTGTCTCTAATTTGACTACCTTAATTATCTTGAGTTACAGCTTATTTCGACCGCGAGCTCTGTCAAATGACATTCTAAATTAGCTATTAATTTTTCAAAGCCGTGACAGATCCCAGCAAA